CTGAGCGGGCACGGGGAGGGGGGGGGGGGGCGGGGTGCCGGACTCCCTGAGCTCCACCCTCTGAGCCTCCTAAACCTCCTCTTGCCCAAGGAAGGTGTCGTGAACCTCGCCTCCCGAGACCACCCCCACGTCGTTTCTCTGTCTCCTCGTGGCCGCCCCCTCAGCCCAGGGCAGAACCTGTACTTCTCATTCCTCCCCTCGTCTCACAGCCAGGCTGTCACCAGGCTCTGCCAACTTGGCTCCTAAAACTCTCCAACCCCTCTCCTGTCCCCATCCCATCCCCCGGTGGGGACCCCCCATCGCCCCGCCCTGGCCCCGCCCCAGCCTCCTAGCTGGTCTGCCCCTAATGGACCGTGTCCCTTCTCTGCTGGAACCTTTGCCGGCTGCCTTGACCCCTTAACCCAAGACAGACACCGGCCGTGGGCACCAGGGGAGGCAGAATTCACTGCTACCCTTTCCTGCCTCTTGTTTGCATTTGACTCTTTTTTAAATACATTTTTATCGATTTCAGAGAGGAAGGGAGAGGGAGAGAGAGACATCAGTGATGAGAGAGAATGATGGATCGGCTGCCTCCTGCACGCCCCCCACTGGGCATCGAGCCCTTAACTCAGGCCTGTGCCCTGACCGGGAATGGAACCGTGACCTCCTGGTTAAAGGTTGGTGCTCAACCACTGAGCCACACTGGCTGGGCCGAATTCCCCCTTTTCATAAGAATACCAGTTGCACTGCATTAGGGTCCACCCTAGTGACCTCATTTTAACTTGATTGACAGGCTGACACCACCCGGCCTCCTTTAAAAGGCAAAGGACAGCGAACTGTCACACGCCCCCCTGTCCTCAGGCTTCCCGGGGGACACACCCGGCTCGCCCTGACCCTGTCTTCCCGTGAGGTCCGGTTCTGAGGACTTGGAGTCCCTGTGCCGTTCCTCCGTGACGGGGACTGTCGAGGCCAAGGACGGGATGTCCACTTTGGGCCTTATTTCAGCATTTCTGACCCTTTTAAAGTGAAGTTTCTCGAGCGGTCGGTGCTGTTGGAAATCAGAGCAGCGGGCGCCTGGGGGACCCACGGCGGGTTGGGCAGGAGGACGTCTGGGTGCCGGCTGGGTTTGTCTCTTGACCTGGTACCGTTTCCCTGGGGAGGTTTTGCTGTTTGAGAAAACGCACTGACCTGCTTACTCGTCTCCGGAGACGCCCCGTGCGCCTCAGACTCGCAAAGAGACGCCTGGAAAGTAGGGCACCTGCAGCTGCGTCCAGGGTGACCCGGAGTTTGGTTTCTTGTGTGACCGCTGGAGTGAATAATTCTCTCACAGGGGCAGGTGCTGGGGCTGGGACAGAGGGGCAGCGGGTGGGCTAGATGGTGACGGATGCTGCTTCCCACAGGCCTCCCTGGACACCTGGACGCGAGACCTTGAATTCCACGCGGGGCAGGTAAGAATGTGGGGCCAGGACGGATCGGCGGGAGCCTCCAGGGAATAGCACACGTCGCGTGTGTATGTCCTGCGTGCACATCCAGGGGACGGAGTCCCGCAGCCTGTGGACACAGAGCCCCTCCTCCCTCAGCCCCTCCGCCTTTCCCCTCACCACCCTCACCTGATGGTCCCAGGCCCACCTCGGTGCAGGGTGACCTGCTGACTCAGAGGCTGCTTCCCACCTTCCTCTACAGCCCGCCCTTCACACCCGCCTCTGAGCGCGTGTGACCGAACCCTGGGTGCGTGGCCTGGCCTACCTGACACATGAACAGGTGCCCCGAGGGCTGGCGGGACCCCGCCCGGGCTCTGGGCTCTGCGCCCCCTGCCAGCTCCCCTTCGTCAGTCACAGGAGGGTCTGTAGAGACTTGGCAGCAGAGATGGCTCGGTGGTGCCGGTTTAAGGACACAGTGAAGGGCTCGTGACCATTTCCACCGGGTCAGACACTCCCCGGGTGGCCCAGCTCCTCGCCCTGACAACACGCACGAGTGTCCTGCCCAGATGCAGCGGCTCCGTTCCCGTCGCAAAGCCGCCGCCGTGGCAGAGCCTCAGGGCGCACATGGGACGGCGGGTCTGCAGAGGCCCCTCTGCTTTGCCCTAGTTCGCCCAGCTTGTTCTGGAATCCTCGGCCTCCCAGGGTGACCTTGGCCGGTTGGGGCGCCTTGCGGTGCAGGTTGTCAGGGGCGACGGGAGCTGAGGTGGCCAGGGCAGGGCGGTGGGGTCCCTGGAGTGGCCCCGGCTCCGCGCGGGGAAGCTGGGTGTCAGGTCTGCGCGGATGACCTTCCCACGGGAATCGCGCTCCAGGCCCCGCGTGCGTCTCAGCCCGTGTTCGCTTCCGATTTGCAGGACAAAACGCCCAAAGAGCAAGAGAAAAGGGGGGACTTCCTTCCCCGGCCGTGTCCCCAGAAGCTGGAGAAGCACCTGCCGGCCCACAGGCAGCCCCCGGCCTCGCTCGTGACGCAGCTTCAGAGCACCAGGGCCCTGCTGCGCGACCGCAAGGCCACCAGGCCCGGCCTCGCCGACAGAGGTGGGTGCGCCCGCCGCGCTCAGGCCACCCGCACGCACTGAGCTGCCTGGCCGCCGTGCTCCCTCCCAGTGGCCCCCATGCCCCCTCCCAGTGGCTGCCTGGCTGCCGTGCCCCCTCCCAGTGGCCGCCTGGCCGCCGTGTCCCCTCCCAGTGGCCGCCTGGCTGCCGTGCTCCCTCCCAGTGGCCCCCATTTCCCCTCCCAGTGGCCGCCTGGCTGCCGTGCCCCCTCCCAGTGGCTGCCTGGCCGCCGTGTCCCTTCCCAGTGGCTGCCTGGCCACTGTGTTCGCTCACGGGTGGCTGCCTGGGCCCCAGGGACAGACAGGATCCTGTGCCCGTGGGAAAGCAGAGTTAGTGCACCTGAGGCCACCTGGGAGCAGTACAGTCGAGGTCTGACTATGCTGTCAGCCACCTGGGCAGGAGGGGCCTGAGAAGGCAGAGGTGGGGTGCAGTCTGGTGGGCACAGAGGTGGGGTGCAGCGGCCTGTCCTGCGCTGTCAGACGTGCAGTGGCAGGAGGAGCCGGGCGCAGCCTGTGCCCAGGAGCGAGGCTGGTTTCCTGGGCCCCACGCTGGGGGCATTTCTGTGGGCACCGCCGGCCAACTCGGGCCCCGTCTGCCCAGCTCGGGGTGGGAACCAGGGTTGGCTCATTGCCTTAGACCAGTGGTCGGCAAACTCATTAGTCAACAGAGCCAAATATCAACAGTACAACGATTGAAATTTCTTTTGAGAGCCAAATTTTTAAACTTAAACTATATAGGTAGGTACATTGTTATTCACTTAATGAGGGTGCTCCTAAGCTGGCCTTTGCTAAAAACGTCCTCAATCTGATGGAGGTACGTTCGCTGAGGTCGACCCCTTCCAGCTCTCCCATCCACACTCGTCTTGTATACTTGTTTCTCCATCTCCTTTTGTTCATCCTCTCATATGTCCACACCATCTCAACATACCTTTCTCAATCCTCGACACTACATCTTCTTTCACTCCACAACGTTCCCTAAAATTAACTTAATAAACTTCACTTAAAGTTTTAAGTCAACTTCGCACCGTATGTGCGTGCCCCGCACGTGGTATTTTGTGGAAGAGCCACACTCAAGGGGCCAAAGAGCCGCATGTGGCTCGCGAGCCGCACTTTGCCGACCACTGCCTTAGAGAGAGGGGGTTTCTGTCTGTGTAGTCAGAGCACGAGGAGGCTCCGCTGAGATCAGGGTCACGAGGGAGCCTTGAGAAGGCGCAGGCTGCACACAACATGTATGACCCATGAGGACGTCACGCTAAGTGGGACAAGCTGGTCACTGAAGGACAAACGTGTAGACCCACTTACAGGAGGGACCTCGAGTGGCCAAGCTCAGGGAGGAGGATGGCGGGGCCCGGGCTGGGGTGGGGGGGGTGATTAGGGGGGCTGAGTGTTAGATCTGCAGGGAGCAGGACTGTGTCTCAGTGTGACCGTCCCGTACACTGACCTGGACACTTACAGTGTGAAGATGGTCGGTGTGTGTCATGTGCTTGTCACCACGTCTAAGAATTCGTGAGGGAACGGCCCTCCCAGCCTTCGGTCCTCGGCGCGTAGGGTTGGGTGCCCCCCGGGCCTCGGCGGCTGCTCTGTGGAGCCCGGGCCTTGTTTTAAACCCTCCCCTGAGGATGTTCCCATTGACCTCTAGAGAGTGGAAGAGAGAGGGAGAGACAGAGAAACATCTATCGCTGTGAGAGAGACACATTGATCGGTTGCCTCCTATACACACCCTGATCAGGGCCGGGGAGGAGCCTGCAACCGAGGTACGTGCCCTTGACTGGAATCAAACCCGGGACCCTTCGGTCCGCAGGTCAACGCTCAACCACTGAGCCACACCAGCCAGGGCCTGGGACCTTTTATTCAAACGCTCTGCAGGGTCCAGACCTTTCAGCAACCAAGCAATAGCAGATGCCACTCTGGTGCCAGGAGGCAGATCTGTGCCCTGTGGCCTCGGTGGCGCCCGGTCTCAGCCAGGCTGTGGGCCGAGCCGGCGGGAGGCACCGAGGTGGCGCCCTCACGGTGCCCTGTGCTCTCTCCGTGTGCAGATTCCTTCGGCTGCCGCAGTATCTTCCGCAAAACCTCGGACCCCAGTTGTGTGGCTTCCTCCTCCATGGAGTTCGTCCCCGGCCCCCCGCCCAGGACCCCCCGCATTGTCAAGAAGCCGGAGCCCCCTCCGCAGGGCCCGGGGGGCAGCGGCCTCGCCCCCAGAGAGGAGCCGCTGGTGCTAGACATGGTCCGCTCCTTCGAGTCTGTGGAGCGCGAGGACCCGCCGGACCTGCTGTCCCCGGCCCACCCCTGCAGGGCGCTGGGCTCCCCCGGGGGCTCGGCGCGCGGCACCCCCGGGGAGCGGGCGCTGTCCCCCTCCCTGCTGCCCCGAAGCCCGTCCCCTCTCCAGACTCCTTTGCATCCCACCCTGGTCTCCTTTGCTCACGAAGAGAGCTGCCTCCCGAAAGAGGGGGGCGTGTGCTCCCCGCCTCCGGGTCCCGGTGCTGGGGCCCCGCAGCCCCTGGGGAGCCCCAACTGTGTGAAAAGCCGGGGCCGGTTCCCCATGATGGGCATCGGGCAGATGCTGAGGAAGCGGCACCAGAGCCTGCAGCCCCCCGCAGACAGGCCGCTGGAGGCCAGCCTGCCCCCCCTGCAGCCCACGGCGCCCGCCAGCCTCCCCTTCAGCATGGCCGAGGCCGTCCAGGGACAGTGCTAGCCGGGCCGCAGCGGGACCGGCCACCCCAGGGAAGCGACGGTACGAGCCCACAGTCCTGCAGGCGAAGGTTCAGGAACTGCACGGCCCCGGCCTCCAGCCACACAGCTCCCTCCCGGGGGCAGCTGAGCCCCAGGCCCCACGCCCGCTCCACCCCGTCTGGCGTCAGGACCCGCAGATGCTGGGATTCCCTAGCAGGTGGGCTGGGGTGCAGCCAGTAATGCTCATTTCCTCGCCGCCCCCCTCAGTTGGGCCGGGGCGAACACCTGGATCGGCCCCGGGAGCACCTGCACCGGCCCCGGGAGCACCCACATCGAGTGCACACCTGGATCGGCCCCGGGGAGCACCTGCACCGGCCCCGGGAGCACCCACATCGAGTGCACACCTGGATCGGCCCCGGGAGCACCTGCACCGGCCCCGGGAGCACCCACATCGAGTGCACACCTGGATCGGCCCCGGGAGCACCTGGATCGGCCCCGGGAGCACCCGCATCAGCCCCGGGAGCACCTGCATCAGCTCCGGGAGCACCTGCATCGAGTGCACACCTGCACCGGCCCTGGGAGCACCTGGATTGGCCCTGGGAGCACCTGGATCAGAGTGCACACCTGCATCAGCCCCGGGAGCACCTGCATCGGAGTGCATACCTGCATTGGCCCCGGGAGCACCTGCATCGAGTGCACACCTGCATCGGCCCCGGGAGCACCTGCATCGAGTGCACACCTGTACTGGCCCCAGGAGCACCTGCATCGGAGTGTACACCTGCATCGGCCCCGGGAACACCTGGATCGGTGTGTACACCTGCATCGGCCCCGGAGCACCTGCATCGAGTGCACACCTGCATCGGCCCCGGGTGCCCAGGGGGACGGCTGTTTCCAGGCCCCTCCGCACTGTGCTCTGCTTGCCTCTGGATCGCTCTCCCTTCGGCCACGGTCACCGCACAGGGACCAAGGCCGTGTCCTCAAGCCCCTCATCCAGCCACGGTTTCCTGTCCTGGATCGCCAGCTGGGCCTCGTGGGAAGACGGGCAGGAGCCGCGGCCACGGGCTGGCCCCTCAGCAGGCAGGGGCAGCTGGGCACAGACCGAGCCGGGTGGTGGGGACCCGCGAAAGGGGCTCATTTCTGCAGCGAGGTTCTGCCTGTTTCTTTCTTGGGTGAGACTTGTTGCTGGTGGAGCCTCTTCCCCGGGGTGGCCTTTCTTTAGGGGAGGTTCCACCGAAGTCACATGATGTGTAAGCCCGTGGAGAGCTGGGAACGAGCCCACCCAATGTGTTTGCCGGAGAGGATGAGCGTGGAGGCGTGAGGAGTCACGCAGGCCGTGCCGTGGTGGCTGGTGCCCATGTGACCTGCAGGCCCGGCTGCCCTGTGTTCGCGCCGTTGTGTCAGCGTGGCCTGACCCCCGGGAGGCGGAGCGCAGTGTCCGTGGGTCATTTAGAGAGAAGATGGTTGAGGTGACGCGTGGATGCTTCTGGAAGGCACGGTCCCTCCACGCAGGTGCAGGCGGTGTCCTTGCCGCCCGGAGAGCGCGCCCGCGGTTCCAGCAGAGCCAGTTTGCCGTGAGCTCGCCTGGAGGGATCACGGGCCAAGTTCAGCACCAGGTCTTCTCAGAGGAAAGCAGCTCTGAGTCCCTGCCCTGTGCTCACACCTTCCCCGAGGACGGAACCAACGCGCCCCTCGGCTCCCCGTCCGTGCCCCCTGCTGCGCGTCTGTGGGCCCCGTGCGGCCTCGGCCTGGCGCCTGGGGGCCAGTGGTCCTCAGCAGCACTGGAAAGAGAACTGGCACGGGGTGGACAGGGGCTTATTCAGGGACAGCTGACACAGCGGCCGGGTCCTCCGTGCTGGGCTGGTTGCAGGGAGGGGACATGAACCCACCGCGGCCGGCCGCCCCCAGGGACGTGTCCCTCAGCCCATGGGAAGCGGGCCTCAGCTTCGGGAGAACGGCAAAAGACCGGTGCCTCGTTGGCAATGGTGGGCCGGGCAAGTGCCCGGGAAGAAGGGCGGCCTCAATCTCTTGCTTTGTCTGCCCAGGGAAGACCTGCCTCTGCCCGCCCCCCGTCCTGCCTGGGCGAAGGGGAGGGGGGGTTTGCTTGAAGCCCTGA